TTTTTTAGATCTAATGACTCATGAGGATGAATTCATTCAGCAACTCCTACATTATATTCAATGTATTTCTAGTAAATAAGCTGATAAATCTTTTAAATATTTTAATTTATATGACTTTTATTACATGAAAGATGTCTGACATGAGTAAAACTCTGGTCTAATTACATCCTGAACATCCCAATCTGGGATTTATTTTATTTTATTTTATTTTATTTTTCCACCAAGCAAACCTGGATTTCCATGGTTTTTACCAGCAGGATTATGCCAACCTATCTAATTTCACTATCCCTTCAAAACATCAAATTCCTTTAAAAAAAAGAAAAAAAAAAAAAAATTTGAGATAAATGCTCAGCAAAACTCTCCCCCTGTGGGATTTCTGAGGATGGAGAAGTAAAAAGCTGTAATTAATGAATTAATTACCTGATGAATCCATTCAGTGAGAGGATTAACAACAATACTCCACATTCTCCAGAGCTGTTCCTTGTTGCCCACCTGCTTTGCACTCTGATCAATGACACAGAGCACAGACTCACTGAAAGCCAGGGCAGACGTGGGGCCAGAAAGGGCAAAACCCACCAGACTTTCCAAAATCCCAAAGAATCTGGGGAAGGAAATTCCATAGGTAAGATGTTATTTTATTTTTTTTTAATTTTTTTTTTCCCTTCAGCTGAAATTAGAAGGAAAAAAAATATAAATAAATTCAATTTTGTCGTATTTTCTAAGCTCTACGTACCTCTCATCTGTCACACAGCTTTCCAAGAGGTTATTGTGGAAAGGTAGTTGGATTAGGAATAAAGCTGGAGTTCCCTTAAAAAAGAAATTAAGAAGTTAAAAGAAAATTGATCAAATGAAATGGTTGTCTCATTTCCACAAGTGTTTCTTTATTGTATTTAAATCCTGAGACAGAAATTCACAGTTGTTTAAAGTTGTTCCAAAATTGTCAATTCTAACACTTGAACAGAAAAAGAAGAGGGAAAATTGAGAAAAAAAATCCTAAAAACTAAAAATCCTAAGATGCTGCCAGATCCTGGGATTTGCTCATTTCCAGGTTAATGCAAGAGATATTTTTGGGCAATTTTTGTTCAAATCTATCACAAATATTTCAGGTTTGCTAACGTTGAGAGTATTTAACAAAATGGATTTAATATCTGTCAATTCAAACTTCACTTTCCTACTCAAGTCTGCTGCTCTCCAAACAAAAAATCCCCAAAATTCAGCATCATTTCAGCTTTTCTTCACAGGTTTTTTTGTGTGTTTATTTTCTAAATATTTTATTATCTGTTCCCCCCTTCTGATGCAGCACACAGAACATGACATTCACTAATGACTGTCAGCTCTTTTTCTGCAGTAATTTCATTAATTACAATTAATTTACACCTCAGGAAACAAATTGCAAACAAAGCCTGCAGTGTGGAACATGGAATAATTTGATTTTCCAATACATTTCAGCATTAATAAAGTCCCAGAATGAATTCAGACTTACATTTAAAAGATCCATATCAGCAACCTGATAAGCTGGAGATCCCAATACTTTTGGAGGCAACTCCTTGACAGTGATATCAATGAGAGACTAGAAGGATGAGAGGGGGAAAAAAAAAAAAAAAAAAAAAAAAAAGAGGAAAAGTTGATAAATATCAATATCTG